GTATTGATTTGGTGAAGAGAAGGGCAATGTACCAAATGTGAGTGATCAATATAGTGGCATTGAGAAAGAGAAAGACAGATGTACGTGGGAAGTACAGACAACAAAGATGAACCCTTTTGCACATATAGTACAGTGAAGGGAAACATGGGTATATGGGTGAATAGATGGGTGGACAGGCTGAACTATTAGGTATGTCTATGAAGTGGGGAGTGTACCCAAGAACACGTATAGGGTTGGCAGACAATGGTCCTGTAACTTTATGTGTATGATCTGAATTCTAATTTTTAGAAAGTCCCAATCATCTGGTTTCTCTTCTCCTGTTTGTGCATTTTGTGCTGTTTGTATATAGTGGAGCTGATAAGGGGCAAGGTGGTAGTCACTGCTTGGTCACAGCCAGCTACCCAAAGGGACCGAGTAATTGAACTTGTGCCTCGGGCCATAGTTGCAGAGGACATCAAGTTCATTTGGCATAATATACTACACAAAACATTGTTCTACCTCCTACTTTGGTTAGCAACTGGGATCTTAAAAGCTTGTAAGCTGCCACCTAGATGCAACAATGCGTCTCTCCTTGTCCAGAGCAAAGAATGAAGAAAACCAAAAATTCATGGAAACAATTAGTCCTAACGACTGGTACACCCTCCGATCTGCAGCCTACGTGAACAACTATGAGACCAGAACAACTAGATGGTGCCCAGCTACTACTGTCAACCACTTGGAAGAGGATCTATGTAGGAGATCCTGGATAGAGAGGTAGAACAATGTGGAATAAAACTAAAAATCATTTGGGAAAAAAAAAAAAGGTGGGGGGACCAGGCTTGCTGCTCCGATAGAGCCTGGTGGAACCACTGAGACTATGGCCCCTAGCTGCCCTTCAGGTCTGGAATTGAATGCCCTTCAGGTCTGGAATTGAACCCACACCTGTGGCTTCCAGCCAAACAGACAGGCATATGAGTTGAACATTTACCAGAGGTAGATGCACTCCTTGGAGAGAACAAGCATGGGAGAAAGAAGGGCTGCTTATGGACAGGGAGATAGCTCAGGGGTCAGGAGTGCATGGAGGGATGGACACAGGAAGAGGTAACTATTGGGAGGAAGTAGGAGGGGAGATGTTGCATTGTGGTAAATTGTGGTCAATGTCATGAGACAAAGTGTATGTGAACTGCTGTATGGAAAGTGTATTTGCTCTGTAAATTTTCACCCAAATCACAATAATAAATAAATAAATCCACAAGTGGGTGGCATTAACAAACAGAAATATATTCTCTCACCGTTTAGGAGGCTAGAATTCTAACTTCAGGGCACTGGCTTTCTCTGTTGGTTCTGGGGGAGGGTCCATGGCCTCTATCTTCCCCAAGTGTCTGCTTGCTTCCTTGCTTGTTTAATCTCTTTCTTATCTCAAAAGAGATTAAGACACACCCTAAACTGATACTACCTCATTACCATAAAAAGAAATTCATTCCCAAATAGGACTATAACCACAAGTATAGGGGTTAGGATGTACAATTAATATTTTGGGGACACACAATTCAATCCACAACAGATTTATTTTTCCCTCTTAATTTCTTTAAAATACTATGTTTAGTAGTTAAAGCAAAAACTGTAACATACAGATTTAATATACATGATAACTAGAGCATAAAGGACGGATGATAAATGGATCTAAATAGCTGCAAGATTTCTATATTTTATGTGCAGTTGTACATTGTCTGAAAAAAAAAAAAAAAAAAAAGCACTGCCATCGAGTCAGATCCTACTCATAGCAACTCCTCCTTGAGTTTCAGAGGCAGTATTCTGTAGTAGATTGCCCAATCTTCCTTCCAAGGAGTGGCTGGTGGGTTTGAACCACCAGCCTTCTGGTTAACAGTCAAATGCCTTAGGCACTATGCCACCAAGTCTAGGAAGACAGAAAAAATTAAGAATCTACATTGTAATTCCTAGAACATTCACTGAAAAAATTAGGCAGAGTTAAAAAGCTGATTTAAAATGCATTTACAAAATAATCAACTATTGCAAACACAGAAGCAGTAAAGGGGCAGACCTAATGCTAACCATATCAATAATTACATTTATTGTTAATAGATTAAAATACTAGTTAAAAAATAGATTGTCAGAATAGATGAAAATTCAAGACCCAAGTATATGCTGTTTACAAGAAACTCACTTCAAATATAAAGTCACATAAGTAGAAAATAAATGAATAAAAAAAAGTACATTATGCAAACAGTAAGCATAAGACCAGAACAACTGTTACTAGTAACACATAAACTTTGAGCCAAAAAGTATTATCAGAGGTAAACAGGGACATTTCATAATAAAATGGTCAATTCATTAGGATATAACATAACCTACTAACAAGAGCTTCAAAATATGAAACTTACAGAATTAAAGAAACACACAATTCCACAATCATAACTGAAGGTTTTAATACTCCTCTCTTGGCAACTGATAGAAATAAACAACAAAAAAAAACTAGAGACAATAGACCTGAACAACACTACCAACCACCAACCATTTATTACAGAACACAGTCACCCAACAAGTCAGAATATATACTCTTTATAAGTGTACATGGTTCATTTATCCAGATAGACCATACACTGGGCTATAAAACAAATCTCAATAAAATTAAAAGGACTGAAATCATCAAAAGAATGCTGTCTGACCTCAATGGAATTAAAGTATAAACAAATAACAGAATATTTATTGGGGGGAAAAATGTGTTAATTCGACAACATACCTCTAGGAAACCTATGGGTTAAAAAATTCACAAAGGAAATCAGAAAATATTTACAACTGAATTATAATAAAAAATTCAACTATTAAAATGTTTTAAGATACAGCTAAAGCAGTGCTTAAAAGGAAATTTACAACTTTATATACTTGTATTAGGAAAAAAGATCTGAAATGGATGACCTAAGATTCTTTCTTAAAGAAAAAAGGGCAAATTAACCCAAACTAAGTAGGAAATAATTATGAAAGCAGAAATCTAATAAAAACAATTTTATTAGAATGAAAAGGAGGTTATAACCAGATTCTACAGACATCAAAAGGGTAAGAATACCATGAACAACTTTATGTTCATAAATTCAACAACTTAGATAAAAGGTATTGTCATAGACTGAATGACGTCCCCCCAAAGGGTGTCAATCTGGCTAGGCCATGAAGCTCAGTATCTTAGCAGTTACGTAATGATCTGATGTAGCAGTTACATAATGATGTAATCATCCCACATGGTATGATCTGATGTGATCAATCAGTTGTAAGATTAACGTGGGACGCAACGCCCTTATTCAGGCCAAAGCCCTGATCTGAGGTAAGGGGAGTTTCTCTGGGGGCAGTAGCCTGCATCACTTTTATCTTATAACAGATAAAAGGAGAGAGAAGGGAGCAAAGCAGAATGACATTACCACCAAGAAAGAATTGCTGAGAGCAGGGTGTGTCTTTTAGACTCAGGATTCTTGTGCTGAGAATCTCCTAGACCCAGGGAAAGACTGATGCCAAGACACATGAAGATCTCCAAGGAATGCTTGAAGACAGCCTCTACAGTTAGAGGCTTGAAAGGAGACAGGATTTCCCCCAGAGCCAACAGAGAAAGCAAGCTTTCTCCTAGAGCTGACCCTGAGTTTGGACTTCTAGCTTCCAAACTGTGCGATGATAAATTTCTGTTTGTTAAAGACATCCACTGGTGGTACTTTGATGGCAAATAATAACAACAAACAACAGAAAACTAAGACAAGGATCAATTTCTTCAAATTACAATGTACTTAATGACACAGATGAAATCAAAATTATGAATACAAATTAATATATTAAAAAAACTGAGTATTATCAAAAACTTCCCCCCAAAGAAACTTCAGACCCAGATGATTTCACAAATTCTATAAATGTAATAATGAAAAAAGGACAGTTCAAATTGAGTTATTAAAATGTTAGCTTTTAATATCAATAGGAATAATGGCCAAGAGTCAACATTATACAGGTTGTAAATGCTAGATACCATAAAGAAATAGGAAATCAACTTTGACAAAATTTATTTCTTCTTTCCTTTCAAAGGCTTGGCAAATAAAGCTGGGTCTATCTGCTCCCTTGCCAGTCCCCTGACAGAGAAGAGCCTTGCTGCCCGCTCCTGCAGAGTGCCTCCACATTTCAGTCCCAGGGCCATCAGCTCAGACTTGAGCAGATCCAAACCCAGCAACTCCAATTCTGTAACACAGCTGAATGCCAGTAAATCCACAGTTCCCTGACCAATATCCTGAGGGGAAAAAAAGAAAAACAATTAGAACATACTTTTTCCAATGAATATTGTTGTTAGGTGCTATCTAGTCAGTTCCAACTCATAATAACCCTATGTACAATAGAACAAAACAATCTGGTCATGTCCTCACAATCACTTCCATGTGTGAGCCTAATGTTGCTGTCACTGTGTCAATCCATCTTATAGATGTTCTTTTAACTGTTTTATTTTTAAAGGATTTCACATATAATTTTCTATACCTTCAATTCAAATGCTGTTCAACAGACTTGCAACTGCTCTATCCACCAAGGACCTTTATAGACTTTGAGACAAAATTAAATACCTCTAACAACGGATGCTCTGCAAAGAATAAAAATGTTCACACCTAGGGTTTTTAAAAACTGTATTTGAAGAATAATTTTCTCTCACAGATTATTTTTTAAATATTAAAGAGCTCTAAATACACCCTTTAGCTTTCTTATTTGGTCTTCCTATTATTAAAAAAAAAAGTCATTTTTTTAGCCTTCATTATATTCATGGCCACATCCTACACCATCACCACTCAAATCCCGTACCACCACCACTCAGGTAGCTTTGGAGAATAACACATGGTTTTTAATGAATACAATGGCCACTATTACAATATCAAGAATAAAATTTCTACAGTTAGAGGCTGAAACATGAAAGTCAAATCAGGTTTTATTCTACTGTGCCTTTATTCATTCTTCTGACTTTGGTCAGGATAAAGCACCTAATTTATACATGTAACATAAATACTATATGCTTCAAACTCCAGAGATGATGTCAGGGAAATCTAAACTTTTAGTCTCCCTAAGCAGGACAATCTATCTATATTTGCTTATGCACTGGGGGTAGGGGAGGCTGTGGTTAAATGACAGGCTTTGTGTTGGTCAAAAGAAACCAAGTGGTTCAGGTTTTATCTATTCTAAAAAGCAAATCATGAGCTTAAAAGAGTAAGCCAAGGATTTTTGCTGGATGTCAGTCCATTGATGACAATGAATAATCAACTATTTGAGGGTAAGTATAGAAAATGAAAATGACTTTTTAAAAAGGCTGATGTCGTGCTTAAGACTTCATTATTAATTTAGTAGGAGCTGCTCCTCTTCTATAGGAAAGATCTTCACATCCTGCTGGCAAGCACTGTTCAAACTGCATCTCACATGGGAAAGAAAAACTGAGTGAACTACAGATTTAGTGATAGAAAAAAATAAGCACATTTCCTCAAATCTAAAATGCCATATATTGTAATATGCCCCATTATTTTATGTATCATTAAGAAAGAATGCCAATTAAGCTACAATATGAAACTGATGCACATCTGATTTCAGAGATGTTAAAATGTGAAAAACATACATCTCAGAATTGAGGAAATATGGAACGAAACCATTGACTGGCTAAATAATATAAACTCTGGGGCTTAAAAAAAAAATCTAAGGATTTTTGAGGGACGAGGCAAGCTTGCCCGTCATCTGTACTTCTGAATATTAAACTACCCTTTCCACTGAGCAGCTGATGGGAAAAAGCACATTTCCATTTTAATGACTTATTGTGATTTGGCTCTTGACACCTATCCCACAATTACTCACTGTGTTTCCTGATTGGCTTTCCTCCAGCTTGGCACCGGGACTGTTTTCCTTGTCTTGTCCAGGTGTTACCTTGGCAGCTCCTTCCCCATCAGTCATTTCTTTTGTCTTTTCCTCTCCATTCAGTCTCATCCCAACTGCTTTCCTTTCTCTGGGTTCTTTACTCTCTGCCTCCTTGTCCTCTTGGGTCCCCTTGATGTCTCCAGCCATCTTCCTTTCCACCTGCTCCTCAACAGACATCTCTCCCAGCTTCAGCTTAGCACACGAGGCTTCAGCTGTATCTTCCCCAATCAGTGGGTTTTTCTGTAGTTTTTCTGGTGATCCAGAGTCTATACTCATTATTCTAGGCTTTTGAGAACCACTGGGAAACTCAGCTGCCATCTCAACACCATCGCTGCCATTTTTCTGAGCTTGAAAGCACATTCTTGAAGTACTAGGTGCTTCGTCACTGCCATCATCTGAGCTCTCAGAACTGGAACCCTCTGCATTCTCTAGTCCGTCCATGCCCAACCTGGCAGAAGTAACAGAAAGGCTTAACACCATTTATAGTGTCTACTTAAAAAAAATTTTTAAAAAGTTTGTCTAGTAAACGCTCTGTCTGAATAAAAATATGTCAGCTTGAGATGGAGGTAAACAAGTTTCAGAAAAAGATCTTCCAGAGGTGTAAACAAAAGAGTAAAAAACAATGTATTCAGTGAGAGGAACCACCCACCACATCCAAGAAACATCTTGTTCTTAAAGCTATCACTTAGAACAAAACTGATTTTGCTTAAAGCTTTTTTTTCTATGGTGCATTAATTTCAATTGTTGGAAATCAGATTAAAAAAAAAAACACAATGAAAGAAAATCCTAACATTTACTCATACTCATCCCAAACTAGAAACTGCTCAGATGTCTTTAAATTGGCGGAGGGATAAGCAAACTGTGGTACATCTACACCATGCAGTAAAGAAAAAAAGAAAAGGAATTAACTACTAATACATATAATACCATGGATGAACTCAAGAGCATTATGCTAAGTAAAAGAAGCCAGACACAAAAGGCTACATGACATTCTGGAAAACACTAAACCACAGGAACAAAAATCACATCAGTGATCAGTGGTGGCTTAAGGGTGGAGGCAGGGTTTAACTGCCAAAGGGGACCTTTTTAGGGTAATGGAAATATTCTGTATCTTGATTGTGATGGTGGTTACATGGCTGCATATTACATATCTTCAAAACTCACAGAATTGCTCAACCAAAGAGGGTAAATTACTATATATCTCAATAATATCTCAATAAGACTTTCAGGAAAAAAGAAAACAAAACAGAAAATGCCATTATCTTTTCTCTCAGGAACATTTAATTCCTATTTCAGAAAGAACACATAAAACTCTATGCTGGACTTAGGGTTACATGATCTTTGGTCAATGATTAATTATCTTCTTATCTCCAAAGGGGAGGCCGACAAGGAAGCAAGCTCCATGTGCACTGACCATTTTCAGAACTTGGCCCAAGACAAGTGAGTGGGCCACCAGAGGAGCAACTGCAAGGGGCAGGAGAACCATCAGAATGGGTGAGAGAGACAAAGAGTTGTGTTTTTAATCTACAAGTACTAAATAGACTTGAGAACAGAGAAAACAGGCCAGTGAAGAGGTCTGGCAAAATGACCAAAGGCCTCAACAATGACTGCAGAAAAACCACAGAGAAAAAACAACAGTACATACAGAACAGCCCTAGCTTCCACCTGGAATTTTTGAAACTCCTTGAACACCAAAAAGTTATTCAAGCATAAAACAATTCATTTTCATGTGATCTTCTACCCTAAGGGGAAAAAGAGTTCTTCAGATTCTATTAATGGTATTTATAGCAAAAACCATGATTAGTATGTACGAGTGATAATCACTGAAACCTTAAGACTGCAGCCCCCTGGAAAATGGCTGGGCTCCCACCAGACACTACTTAAAAATGTGTTAGTAGCAGACAGACAAGAAGGAAATAGATCATATCAGTCCTCAAACAGCAATTTGGAATGGCAATGAAACAAACTTACCAAAAGCATTTTCTTTTTTCTGTGCTGGCTCCTTGGCCTGCTTTGAATTTGTTAGGCCTTTTCCGATTCTCACTGATTTCTGCTGCTACCATCTTGCTGGAGGTGGCCTGCATACCTAACCAGAAATTTTAGCAACTCAGTTTCTACTATCAGGATTAAGTTAATTTAAGAAACTATATATAATCCAGATTGCAAAAAAGAACTCCAAAGGGATAAAACTGCTCTCAATTTATCAACATATTATACGGTTAAAATTAAATTGATCTTAAACATACACAGATTTTAAAATAATAAGCATTCTGCTTCTGGAACTCAATTTTTTTCCCCTAAATTTTGTTGTTGAGAATATACACAGCAAAACAGTGACAGTGATTACATTCTTCAAGTTGGGTAACCATTCTCACCTTCCTTTTCTAAACTGTTCCTCCTTCATTATTATAAACACACCCCTCCCCCTAAAACTCAAAAAACCGAATTCACTGCCGCTGAGTCAATTCGACTCACAGTGACCCCTCCTTGGGTTTCTGAGGCAGTAAATCTTTACGGAAGTAGTTGCCCAGTCTTCCTCCAAAAGAGTGGCTGGTGGGTTTGAATCACCAACCTTCCAGTTAGCAGTGAAATGTCTTAGGCACTATGCCACCAGGGCTCCTGCTCCCCCTAAGGTTCCTATCTAATCTTTCAAGTTGCTGTTGTCAATTTGATCCCACATAGATCTTAAAAGAGCATAATGTACAAGGCAGACATTCTTTATCTCTCAGGTAAAACTGCTGTTCAGTTTTAAGACAACTTCAGGGGATATTTTTGGTTTAAAGTTTAAGATTATCTCAGGGCAATAGTTTCAGGGGTTCATCCAGCCTTTATGGCTTCAGAAAGACTGGATTCCATGAAAATTTAAAATTTTGTATGACATTTTCCCCCTTTTGATAAGGATTCATCTACGGAATCTTTGATCAAAATGTTTAGTAATGGTGGCTGGGGACCATCAGTTCTTGTGGTCTCATGGCAAAGGAGGCAGTTGTTTATGGAGGCAATTAGCCACACATTCCATATCCTGCTCCTGTTCCTGACTCTCCTTCCTCTGTTGCTCCAGATAAACAGACCAATTGTGTTACTTTCAAGCTTTTAAGATCCGAGGCACTATACAATGAATTAGGAGGTAGAAAAGAAGCACCAAACAATTAGGTCAATTAACTGTGATGTCGTATGAAATCTTGACCCTAAACCTCCAAACCAAGGAACTAAATCCCATGAGGTGTTTAGTTATAGGCAAGCAGCCTCAGCAGCTACTCTTTTTTTTCCTTTTATTTTTGGTCACTGTTATAAATATATCACACAACCTTTGCCAATTTAACTTTTTACAGGTGTACGATTTATTGACAACTATGCAAACTTACCCTTAATTAATGCATTTTTTCCACCACCATTAACCCCCTTTTTTCTCCTCCTCCTAACCAAGTAAAGAGCTCTGGTGGCACAGTGCATAAGGCATCTGACTGCTAACCAGAAGGCTGGTTGTTCAAACCCACCAGCCACTCCTTGGAAGGAAGACTGGGCAATCTACTTCCATAGAGATACCACCTCAGATTCACGGACGGGTTGCTATGAGTCAGGAGTGACTCAACGGCAGTGAACACACCAGCCACTCCTCAGAAGGAAGATTGGGCAACCTACTTCAGTAGTGATATTGCCTTGGAAATCCAAGGAGGGGTTGCTGAGTCGGATTTGACTCAAGGGCAGTGAGTTTGGTTTTTTGTTTTTAGTAACCACTAATAAAGTTGAGTCTCTACACATTGCCTTTTCTTGTCTTTTTATATGAGTGAGATCAGACATTATTTGTCCTTTTGTGATCGGCTTACTTCAGTCGGCATAATGTCTTCAAGTTTCATCCATACTATGGAGACTTCATTTCTCCTACTGGCTGAGTAGGAGACCATTGTATGTATATCCCACATTTTGCTTATTCATTCATCTACTGATGGGCATTTAGTTGTTTTCCACCTTTTGGCTGTTGTAGACAGTGTTGCAATGAACCTTGGTGTACAACTCTCTTGTGTTTACACCTTTGTTGTTGTTTGCCGTCGAGTCGGCCTGACTCATAGTGACCCCTCCTTGGGTTTCCGAGACAGTATCACTACAGAAGTAGGACTGCCCAACCTTCCTTCATATGGTAGTTCTAAAGAACTCTGGTGGTGCAGTGCCTAAGGCATTTGACTGCTGATGAGTGGTCAGCCAACCCATTAGCCACTCTTTGGAAAGAAGATGCAGCAATCTATTTTCATAAGGATTTACTGTCTCGGAAACCCTATGGCAGTCACTGTGAGTTGGAATCAACTTGATGACGGTTGGTTATGTTAGTTCTATTTTTAGTTTTCTGAGAAACTGTCAGGAGCTCTGGTGGCACAGTGCCTAAGGCATGTGACTGCTAACCAGAAGGCTGGTGGTTCAAACCCATCAGTCACTCCTTGGAAGGAAGGCTGGGCGACCTACTTCTGTCGTGATACCACCTCAGAAACCCAAGGAGGAGTTGCTATGAGTCGGACTGTCATACTGTTTTCCACAAAGGCTAAAAGCATTCTGCATTCCCAGCAGCAATGAATAAGGGTTCTAATTTTCCCACATCCTCACCAACATTTATTATTTTCTGTTATTTATTTATTTTAAATCTTAGCCTTCCTAGTGGGCGGAACTAGATTTTTAAAGTAAAGGACATTATAGCACCAATGTCTAATCTGTAATTCTGAAGCTAACAGATTCATACCTAGCCCTTGCCAAACCTAATAATCCATCATTTTATGCTAGTTATTTGCATATATTTGTCTTTCTTGTTACAAATATTTTGATAGAAAAGATTCCTTCTCATTCAATTGTACCCACAATAGCCCTAGCATAATGCTCTGGGTGCTTAAAAAAAAATAATAATAAAAGTAAATAAGAAGATGGTAGAATAGGCAGACAAGCTACACAGACCCTTTTCAACAAAGGAAAGAGAAATCAATTGACACAGATACAGAAGATGATCCTGGAGCCCAAGTTTTGAAAGGAAGGGTACAGAAGTGGATTAAACATCAACTAGTAGAAGAACCTGCATGAAAATACTGAATAAAGAGACAAAACAAGAGCTGCGGACTATCAGCTATCTTGACAGCATGGACAGTTGGAGTATTTCCAAGTGGTGTTAACCAACAAAAATCAAACTCACTGCCGTCGAGTCAGATATGACTCATAGCAACCCCTCCCTGGGTTTCCAAGGCAGTCTCACTACAGAAGTAGATTGACCAACCTTCCTTCCAAGGAGTGGCTGGTGGGTTTGAACAACCAGCCTTCTGGTTAGCAGTCAAATACCTTAGGTACTATAGCACCAGAGCTCCTCCAAGTGGTGTTAGGACCTGAAAGTTAACCTAAAAATGGCCTTGCTCACCATGGGCTACATGGAAAACTGCACTAGTGGCTGATGACTAAAGAGAGAAATGGCAAAGGAGACAAACTGAGCTGTGAGCTTTAGCCTGTCCAGAGGGCACAGCCACTTTGAATGTTTACAAGTGGTACAGCCATTTTGTATATTTAAAGTGACAGCATCATCATGCAGATTCCAGAGACCTGAGAATAGGATCCACTTGCTGAGGACAGCACGGACACGCCAGAGATGGACAACTAGAAAGGTGCGACATTCCCCTTGTCATTCTTATACCCCACACCTTCTTGGTGAACAGAGGTGCAGCCATCCTTCACCTCCACCTTCCTTCTGGGCCAGCAGGAATTCTATGCCAGTCTGTGTGCTCTTCCCAACCCAGCCTCCGATTTTTTTTCTTTTCTTTTTGTTTGGTTTTAAATTATTCCCCCCACTCCCTTTATTTATATTCTTTCTTTTTCCCTTCCTAAGTTCTACTTTTTGGCTTTTTTTCTCTTCCCTTTTCCTGGTTCTCATTATTTTCTTTCTGTGGTTCTTCTCATCTCGTTTTTTTTTTTTTTTTTGGATTTTTATCATTTTTTTCTTTATTATTCTCTTCCTCTAGTTCTTTTCTCTTATTCCCCCTTCCCCAGATATTGTGGGTTTTCTTTATTTCCTCTCTTTCTCTATATTTCTTTTGTCTTTTCAAAGTATTTTTTAAAAATATTTCATCTCATTTATTGTCTGTCTTTTCTTTTTTTGGTGATTGGTCCTGTGTGTTCCTGCAGTGTGTGTTTTTTGTCCTCTTGTTTTGTACTATATTTTGGTGGTTTTTTAATTTTTTTTTTTTTTGTCTGAGTGGGAGACAGCAACCGTGCGAATATGACCCAACCATATCTGCACCTCCTGTAACTCCACCTACTAAGGGAGAAACACCACTTGCTTCTGCACCACTGGCAAACAAAACACAAAAGCTAGTAAGAGCCTTACTCACCTTTAATTGCTCTTCACCAACAGTTAACAGAGATCTGTGCACCCACTCTCATTCTCTATCACACCCACCAGGAGACAGGTGATGAGTGCCTAAGTAATGCCAACTAGCAAATAGAGGAGCACAGTGTTCTGAGCACTCAGATACATACAACCAAAACAAAGAAAACAAAAATCTTGGGTGAATCACTTAAACATTCAATCACCAAGTAAATATAAATACAACAACATTACACTGTCTCAGAGACAGCAAACCAACACAATCCACACAAGGAAGATAAAGCAGTACAAACAAGGGACCAGGATACAGACCCAGAACACATCCCTGAGAAAGAAGCAACATCAGAACTCTCTGATAAGGAATTGAGAGAAACATGAAGGAAAACACTGACAAAACAGAGAAAACTCTAGAACAACATCAAAAGACAATACAAGAACAAAATGACAAAATAAATGAAAAATTAGAAATGATACAAAATCTAGAGATGCAAATCCAGAAGATTAATACTAAATTTTCAGAAATAGACAACACATTGAACAGGCAAAGGAGTAGAATCAAAAAGAAGAAAGAATTAGTGAGACTGAAGAAAAATACCTCAGTACTTCTTTGGAAAGGTATCAATCAGAAAAAAGATCAAAACAAAATCAAGAAAGCCTAAGATTCATGTGGGATACCATGAAGAGGAATAACCTATGTGTAATCAGAATTCCAGAACAGGAAGAGACAAATATAATCA